CATACATTTTTGGACATAGTAATGGTGTGGATTCCTTTTGTTTGAATTTGTTACAAGGCAATTTTTTTCCCCTTTCTTCCTCTCTGTTTTCAGTTGGGAGGGGTAGGTAAGTGGGGGGAAGAGAGGTTAACAACAGTGATAACAAGAGGGAGGTTGATTAAGACATTAAAAATACATAGAAGGAAGCATAGATAAGCAGGGTGGTTTTGAAAATAATATGTAATATTTATTATATATTTTAAAGAAAAGCAAGCTGTATGAAATAGAGATTGGTGGTTTTATATTAAAAAATTATTAATTAGCAATCCTATGTCATATCATGTATGAAGTAGGCATTCAATAAATGCTTTTAGACAATGGTAAACCAAAACTATTTTGATTACCATCACTTAGTTTATTTGTAAAAATATGTACTATGTTCACCTTCCATATCCCTTTTCTCTTATATAATCTATGATCCTCTACTTCTCCTGCATCCCTTCATATCAGCCATGAAGTCCCACTGATTTTTCCTTAAAAATGGTCTCTTGTCATACTTGAAACAGAAATACACAAACATAGAGTTAACATTAGGGGCTGGAGAAGGATCTGTTATATAGCAATTGTGATCTCAGACAAAGCAAAAGCAAAATTAGACATAATTAAAAGAGATAAATGGGGAAACTACATTTTGCTGAAAGGAACCATAGACAATGCAGCAATATGAAAAATTTTCAGCAAGTTTCTCTGATAAAGGCCTCATTTCTCAAACATATATGGAATTGAATCAAATTTATAAATATAGGAACTATTTCCTAATTGATAAATGGTCAAGAGATATGAACAGCCAGTTTTTGGAAGAAATCAAAGCTACCTATAGCTTCTCAGAGCCAAAAAAACCAGAGTTCCCATATCAAAATAAAAATACTGCAAACATCCAAAAAGAAGCTAGTCAAGAACCAAGGAACATAGTCAGGATCATGTAAGACCTGGCACCTTCACACATAAATGAAAAGTGATCTTGGAATATTCCAAAAGGCAAAAGATAAAGATTTACAATCAAGACTAAACATGCCCTACAAAGCTGAGAATAAACCTACAGAGGGAAAATGTAACAAATTTCACATGAAAAAATGCTCTAAATCACTACTGATTAGAGAAATGCAAATTAAAACAACTCTGAGGGACCACCTCACATCCTAACATGATAGAAAAGGAAAAAGACAAATGCTGGTAGGGATGTTGAAAACTAGGTACACTAATGCACTGTTGGTGAAATTGTAAACTGGTCCAGCCATTCTTGAGAGCAATTTGAACTACACCCAAAGGGCCATGGGGCAATTAGGTGGCATAGTGGATAGAATGCCAGGCCTGGAGTCAGGAGGACCTGAGTTCAAATCTGGCCTCAGATATTGACTGTGTGACCCTGGGCAAGTTGCTTAACCTTGTACGCCTCAGTTTCCTCATCTATAAAATGAACTTGAGCAGGAAATGGCAAACCGCTCCAGTATTTATGCCAAGAAAATCCCAAACAGGGTCACAGAGTAGGACATGACTGAAAGACTCAACAGCAACCAAAATAAAACTTCATAACCTTTGACTCAGCAATACCTCTACTATATCTGTCTACCAAAGAGATCACAGAATAAGGAAAAGGAGCTATGTGTATACAAATATTTATAGCACCTCTTTTTTTGTGGTGGCAAAGAATTGAAAACTGAGGAAATATCCATCAATTGGGGAATGGTTGAAAAAGTTGTGGTATTTAATTGTAATGGAATACTGTTGTGTACAAGAAATGATGGTTTAAAAAAACAACAACCTGGAAGTGATGCAGTGAAGTGAGCAGAACCAGGAGATAATTATATATTGTAAGAATGATCAACTGTGAAAGACTTAGCTACTCCGGTCAATACAATGATTTAAGACAATTCAAAAGGACTCCTGATGAAAAAATACTATTCATCTTCAGAGAGAGAGAATCGATGAACTCTGAGTATAAATTGAAGCATAATTTTCTTGGGTTTTTTTTGTAACATGGCTAATTTAAAAATGTTTTGCATAATTTCACATGTATAATTGATATCATGTTGCTTGCCTTCTCAGCAGGTGGAAGAAAGGCTGGAAAGAGAGGGAAAATGTTCAAAAGAATGTTAAAATAAATAAATAATAGATTGAGGGGAAAATGGTCTCTTGCATTCATCTCTTCGTTGGTATTTAAGTTGTCATCACCCTAGTCTGTGTCTTCACCAGTTCGTATCTAAACTATTGCAGATGGCCTCCCAGATAGACCCCTTGCCTCTAGAATCTTCTTGCTCTAGTGTGTGGTCAGAACCAGTGCCTCCTAAGTAATCTTCCTTAAAAACAGTCTCATCATGACATCCCAAAGGGGAGAAGCAAGGCAATGGCAAAAACCACATTCTTTTTCCTTTGGGAACCATTAGACTATGAAGATTGGAGGATCTGCTTATCTGCAAAGGACCTCACCTACCCAAGCATTATGCTAGCCTGGCACAGACTGGCTGGCACCTTTCTTGCCTCCCAAGGACACACAGGGAATCCAGCTTGGGGTACAAACAATGAATTATGTCAGTTTAGAGGTAGGCTTTGTCCTTGACACTTTCAGGGTCTCCTGCATGCTCTGGGTCCAGTGTTTCTAGAAAATATGGCAACTCAAAAAGATAAGTTCAGGGGATTCCTTAACACATTCTATTCCAATAGAAGAATAATCACTTAATCTTCTAAAAAAAAAAATTGGGTCTTTAAATGGCCACTCCCCTCAAGAGTGGAAAAAGCTTTCTTCTCTATGATCAATATTCCAATCTAGGGGTTAGCAACCACTGTGGCAAACCAAAAATGGATTTATATTTTTAAATATAATAAAACTTTATTTAAAAAAATGTAAAAATAGCCCTAAGTCAAGGGTGGTACAAGAACAGGCCAAGGGCAAGATATGCTATGCTCTATATCCCTTCTGAATGGGAGAGAAGGTACTAAAGTGGGATCATAATAGCAACTCCTTCAAGGGATGAAGAAGGCAACATCTTAACAAGAAAGGAGGTATTTTTTGTTCTCATTTTGGTTACTACTCTTAATCCATTTTCGCTCGGCCTTCTGTTTTTGTTCTTAAAGGTTCTATACATTTTCCTAAAAGGAAACGTCTAGAAAGACTGGAGAAATATTTATTTCTTAATATTTTAGTTGAACTAAAAAGGCTGCTTTTAATATACCTCCACAAATGTGAAAAGAAAGCTTGATAAATTGTTCCATCCAATGACCCTGTCCTCCAAAGCAAAACCAGCACAGCTGCCCAGCCTCAAACAGTATTTTTCAATCTGCCACTCCCTGGAATTAGAATGTTATCCGTCAGCTCAGACTCCAAGTTCTCTAAGGCCTTGGCCATAGCAGGGGAGCTCAAAAGTATCTGTTGAACTAAATTATTGAATAACATGGTACTGTGTTGGCTATTCCTCTCTAGCATCACCTTCTCTACTGAATTTAAGGTTGTTTTGCTCAATCCACCTACTTGTACCTTTCCCATTCCTATATGTGACTGGCTAAACTCCACTTATATCTCTGTTCATGGCATTTCCCCCAAATACAATGCGTCTTCCAGTCCTTTTCTATAATCCTCATTCATTGTCTACTTCAAATAAGTCTTCTCAGATGGACCCTACCCTTCTAGAATTGCTCCCTTACTTTACATCCCTCTAGTCTTTCTCTATTCATTTGCACTATAGCTTTTAAAACTTTCTTTGCAAGTTGGAAGTTGCATAGGTTGTATGTATTTGTTAGAAATAGACTTGACACCAAAAATTTAGTATCAAGAAAATTTATTATAAAGAAAGTCCAGAGGATTTAGACGCTTCTGTCCAGAAGTGGGCTCCTCCCCTCTTTAGGAGGGGTGGGCCCTGAGTGCAAGGGCAAGTGTGCTTTTATGCAGTTGAATTCGGTGTGAAACCTCCCAGGCCGGGATTGGTCCATCCCTTCCCAGGTTACACCTTTCCTTACATGTTTCCCCTTGATACGGTCAAGTATGTTCCCCCTCCCTTGGTCATACGTCCCAGGACTCATTAATGAGGCTCTAATTTATGCGGGGTGTGTCAGATAATAGTAATGAAGCTCATTAAGCAGGTACATTAACATTTTTCAGGTGTCCTCAGGTAACCCTAACTGGTCTGAGCTGGCTCGACCCTTATCTTGATTTTGGGGTCTTTTTGGAGCAATCCACTTACTTTTTATTGGCTAAGCCCGAGCCCACCCACAGTGTACTACTTCCTGGAGCTGTTCTTTAAATCTCTGCATTATTCTACCTGTGGAAACATAAGCCCTTCTAACTCTAACATATTCATATGTGTATTTCATGGTCATAGGGTCTTAGGACTGGAATACACTTTGGAGATCATGTAATTTGATCTTCCCTTCTTCCAATCTCTCACAGTTCTTTTCTTGGTTATTTCCCACACATTAATAAGATTTCGTGGTTTTGTTATTTGTCTACATGCAAAAAACCCCCAAAAACCAAAAACCCTGAACCTGATGTAATGTGTCATTCAGTTTATATTCACACTTTTCCAATACTGTTGGTAACCAGTATGGTTTTTTAAAAGTTAGTCAATACCCACTTATTAAAAGAAGTCAATTCATCAATTAAAAATAATAATAAAGAAAATGTGTTTTGTTTTTGAAGTTCTAAGTTATTCTTTGGATCAGATTTTGCCAGTGGGGAACATGGTGAATAATAATGTATAAAAAATACTTTCCAAGTGGTAGAGTCATCACCCACCTTACATTTTCTAAGAACTTTTTATATTCCGGCTTCAAATGTGTCTACCGAAAGAATTAGGGTGCATTCTTGTGAAACTGTTTTGATGCACGCCCAAACAACCTAAAAATAATGATGACTCACGTGAGAGATGCTTGAGAACCATGGCTGGGGGCGGGGGCGGGGGTGGAGGTGGTGGGGTGGTGGGAAACCAGGAGAATTAGAGCTTGCGCGTTACACAGCACAGCACGCTAATGGGGGGGGGAGAAATCTCCACTTGGACTGTATCATCCTGTTTATTTACTCGGGGGAGGCCACGATTTTTCGGCCTCAGCAACAATCCCGCCCGCATCTCTGGGTGGTGGGTGACTGGGCTCCCCCTCCGTCACATCCCGATGAGCCGGTCCAGTTTTACGGCCCGCTCCGAGTCTCACCATTGGCTAGTCCCGGAGGCTTGCGTCCCTGGAGAGCCTCCGGCCGGCGAAAGTGAGGCTTGAGCTGCTCCCAGGTCGGGCCCGCCTCTGCGGGCGGACTGGATTGGATGGCGTTCGTTTCCGCCCTGACAGCGACTTTCTCCACGGCGTCGGGTAAGGGCCTCTGGCGAGGCGAGGTTTAGCGCACGATCGGGGTCACGGTAGGGTCATGGTCGGGGTCACGGTCAGAGTCACGGTGAGGAGAAGCGCTGTTGTCTGGGGAAGCGGGGCTGGGACTTGTGCATCATTTCTCCTCGACCCCCCTTCACTGCCCAGGGTGAGGGTCGGAGGAGGTGGTTTAAAGCCGAGTTGCCCAAACAGGGTGGCCCGGCGAGTGCCCTGCCCACCCAGGAAGAACCTTAGCTTTACATGAGATTCTTAATCCGGGAGAAGCATTGTCCCGGCGCAGATCCGCCCTCTCCATCCTCACACCGCCCTGTTCTTGGTAGCTGAAGCAGGAATGAGGATTATCCGTAGGATCCCCCGTATGAGCTGGGGCAACCCCACTGGGACTTGGTTTCCTAATGTGTAAAATAAGTATTTTCAGCGGGATTTGGAGTGCCATCTAGCTCATATATAATAGTAATAATAACATGCACTGTTATGTGCTATATAAATAAAATGTAATAATATATGCATGCTAGCTTTTATGTAGCACTTTACGGTTTGCAGAGTGCTTTACATATATACATAGACATACACATTCATGTATCTATGAGATTCCACATCTGCCTTTGAGGTAGGGATGTCTCATTGGACATGTTCAAAGAAAGGGTAGTAACCAGGATTATAGTGGTGGATTCCTGATTGGACTAAGAGGTTGGTCTGGAGGCAGGGGTGGGGAACCTGCAGCTGGCCACATGTGGCCTTAAGGCCACAGGTTCCTCACCCCTGGTCCCCCCAAGGTGTCTCCCTGACTCTTAATACTGTATGACTTGCACCAGCTCTGAAGTCAGGAGGACCTGAGTTCAAATTCGACCTCAGACCAAACATCTGACACTTACTAGCTGTGTGACCCTGGGCAAGTCACTTAGCCTCAATTGCCTAAAGAAAAAAAAACTGTGTGACTTGCTCAAGGTCACACAGAAAGTATGTGCCAGAAGTGAGCCAAAAATGCAGGTCTCTGCATTGCTGGTTTAATGTCTTTCCCACTGCCATAGTGCTTTCGCCAACTACACATTGAGAATATGGATTTAAATAACAAAACACATCATATGTAAGTGGGATTTCTATAAATGGTCATATCTGTGTTGAGCCCTATAAGGCTTACAATTCACAGGATTTTAAGTTTGAATAGACTTTATCTAGTACAACTTCCTTATTTTAGGAAATTTAGTGAAGAGATTTGCCTGAGGTCACATAGCTAATAAGTAGCTAAACCAGGATGTTATCTGTTATCTGACTCTAAAGCTATTGCTTTCTTTTCCCCCACATCCCTAATAACAGTTGCATGAAAGATATCCTATTAAGCTGTTAGTACTGGAAGGACAAAGTGGATGAAGAATGAATTTTGCAGAAAATCAGGTAAGCCAGGAATGTTGAGGGAATGAGAGGCCTCACATGGAACCCAAGTACAACATTGGTAGGGCTGATATGATCAAAGGGTTAGAGGGAGTACTTCGTTGTGCTGGGTGCATTCTTCAGAGAAAGATATGAATGCAGGAAACTCACAATTATGAGAAGTGTTTGAATGTTTGACATCTATTGTCAGTCAGTCCATAAATATTTGTTAAGAACTTGTTATGTGCCAGGCACTATGCTAAGCTCTAGTTAAAGAAGTACCCACCCTGATGAGATCGCACATCTCTCAGATTGTTAAAGATACACACACATAAACATATGCACATATTCAGGGTTGCATAAAAATCAGGATGTGGTTAAAAAACAGCATGATGTAGTTGGTTCATATTTGAAAGTAAAATAAAATTTTAATACTACACTAAGGTATACACGATTTTGTGATTTTAAATATTCTCTCTTGCTTATTTTTGCTTTATAAAAGGCAAGTTCTCGTATGTGAAAAAAAATTAACTGTAGTTATTTTTACTTCATCCTGTTAGACACATGTATATGAATGTGCACAATACCCCAGCCATCCTTCCTCTTCTTTTCTCCCTAGCCTCTTCCCTTCATAGGTAGGACTCACTCTCATGTGGCTCTGAATTTGGACTTTGGAGACTTGGGTTTGAATCCTATCTCTGACACTAGCAGTTTGGTTATGGACAAGTTACATGAGCCTCAGTTTCCTTATTTGCAAAATGGAATAAAAATACTCATACTATCTAGTTCATAAAATTATGCTTTCAGGAAAGTTGCTTTGTAGAGTTTAAAGCTCCCTATAAATATCAGTTATTACTGTCACAAACTGGCCAAAGGGAGATGCAACCCAAGATGTCACAAAACACACAATCTGTCTTCAAAATCCTCTGTGCACTAAAGGTATCTTCAGATGGATGCTGGACAACCATTTGTCAAACATTATGGAGGGGCTTCATGCCTCAGATGAGATGCTGTAATTGTTTAGTTTAGTCTGGTATTCTCTGTTTCTCTGTTTGGAAACTGTAAGGCTGGGGCCTCGAGAGTTTGAGAGGGTAACAACAAGCAGGTACTCAGTAAGGAGAGCTGAGACAAAAGGCAAAGAGGCCAGCATTGATTCAGTGCTCACTCATGTGGAAAGGGATAGTAAGAACAAAGCAATTACAAATGGACCACCAGTAAATATGGTGCAGACAGAATATGTAAACGCTGAAATACAGCTTATATAGGAGAAAGGCAAACATATTTACATTTTACAAAATTGCTGATGGAGGATTTTAAACAGGAAAGACAGTTCGCAAAAAGTGGCCTGCCTGTGCAAATGATTATAACATAGTCCTAGAGTACAGGTTTGGGGAGGTAACCAAGACCTTAACCCAGCCTGAAAGGACCCACTCCTATTCCTTTGTGGTAAGTGAGAAAGTCTCAGTAGTCTGCCAGTGGTTTTTGATTTAAATCCTATCGGGCAACAGTATAGGAGGAAAAACCCTGGGCTTGAGGCCTAAAGGCTTGGATTCTAGTCCCAGATCTGTTACCTGCTGTGTGACCTTGAGTAATTTGACTAACCTCTCCTGGCCTCAGTTTTTTTCATCGGTAAAATGAAGAGTCTGGACTAGAAAACTCCTAAGATCCTTTCCATCTCTAATGTTCTGACATCCTTCTTGAGCAGGGATAAGGCCTTTAGGTTTGGGTTTTTTTTTTTATATCTCACCTCCTACGAACACAGAAAATAATACTTGTTTTATACTATACACTTGAGTTCAACAAATAGTTAAGTGTGTACTGCATGCAGGACACCATGCTAGGCGTTGATGGTGATTCTAAAGTAAATAAGACTTACTCTGAGAACTCAGAGACTCCTAGCTCTGTGATCATGACCCTGACTTTGTGACCAGTTCACCTTTTTGAGCCCCATTCCTCATCTGTAATATAGTAATAGTTAATACTTATACTACTTACCTTATAGGATGTGAGGAAAATGCTTTGTGAACTCTAGAGCCTCTGTACAAATATGAGCTATTAGCAGGGGAGATAAGTGAAGTAATTGTGGAATAAAATAGAAAATGATCAGTGCCTGATATATGTTAACAGCGTGCTATGAATGCCAGTAGCATAAAGAGATCACTACTGGTTCATGGGCTCACAAATTTAAAATTCATAGGATCACAATTTAAGTCTTTTAGTCCAGTTCTTTATTTTACAATTTGTTCATGGTCACAGGTTGAATGCAGCAGAGCTGAGATTAATCCTGTGATTGTAATTTCATCATTCTTTCTGATATACTACAGTAGAAGGGATAGAGAAGGATTTATTGAGGAATAGGCATTTAAACAAAACTTAATATTCAAATGAGAACCTCAAAGACTTGATAGGTGTTGGCTAGGGATAGGGATAGACTTGAAAGTATTGAGTCTTTCCTTTCCAAGACCCTCAAAACAAAGATCATCCAGTCCATCCTCTCTACTAACCCATAGAAATACATTGCACAGCAGCCATCCTAGGTACATTAGGCAGCCCTAGAAGATGATTCTGACACCTGCTACAGTAGTAATACTCTTCGATTTTGGGCAATTTTCCATGTTGGGAAGTACTCTGTTATATTTAATTTCAATCACTCTTGCTACAACTTCAGTCCTTTCTTTTTCCAATTCAAAGGAGATGGAGAATAGCTGATTATCATATTCCATGAGGTGAGAGTTAGGCTCATAAGGTTCAGAACTGGAAGTGATTCAAGAAAGCATCAAGTTGAACACCTTCATTTGGCAGATGAGGAACCTGAGAGCCGGAGATATGAAATAACTTGTCTAAAGTTGCACAGGTAGTAAATAGTAGTGTTAGGATTTAAACTCAGGTCGTCTGACTCATACATCATATTCTTTCCACTGTACAATTTTGTCTTCTTTTCATCTAGTTGACAGCCATATTAGATCTTCTCTTTTACAAGTCAAATAATAACAGTTTCTTTGCTGTTTCTATATCCTTTAATTATCTTTGTTTCTCTCATCTCATTTCTTTCTCAAATTATCCTAATTCTTCTTACTATATAGAGCCCTGAACTTGAGTCAGTAGCCTAGTTAGGACTCAGCATCAGTCCTAAAAAATCCTTTAGGGGTTTGTAAAATGCATCTTATGAATTATAATATATTTTTAATCTTGGGCTTTCTTCTTGCACTGCTTTTGTCTCTCCTTGAAATGCAAACTTATTTTATCATTAATTAAAGATTGAGGTAACTAAACAGGCAGATTAGCAGTAGAGTGGCCATGTAATGAATTATATTATTGAATAGCAGTGACTTTGGATTCACTTCATCATACCACTTCCCAGCTAGCATGACAAACTTTGAATTGACTTTGTTTTTATGCAGACGACTTGTCTGACCCAGCTCCAGAAGTGACTCCGAATCAAGGGAAACCTGATGGAATTTTCATCTTACCCTCTTCTACCATAGGTCCACGTGTTCCAGTTTGTACCTTCTAGTCCTTTGACATCTGAGTGATTGTGTGGGATGAGGTAGTCTGCTGGCTTTCACCAGAGGCCCCTTTTGTCTGCTGCAATTCTAGCTCTATTCTACCTTGAGGAGGATTCTTGGAAGATTGCCCACACTTGATCACCTGATCACCATTTAGGCCCGATATCAGTTGTAAGAGTTGTTGAGCTGTTACGGAAAGCAGTGTGGAAGAAAGGCAATGCTAAGTAGAAGGATAGTTCATCTCCAAGAGCTCCTGTTAGGCCAAAAAAAAACCCCAATAAAAACTACCTGGACTAGGACCAGAGGAGGCTTTGGAGTTGAGGAGTCACTCCATTTAGCACTGAACCAATTTGTTTTGTGCAGAAGAGAACAGTGTATAATATTGCTAGGGCTTTTGATGTGAGAAAGTTTTGGCTCCTCATCTTTGATATTTTGTCTTGAGTCTGGCGTATCTGCTGGCTCTCCTGTAGCTACCTCTTTTCATCACATACTTTCTTCTTTTCAGTCTTCTTATTCCTTCCTATCAACACTGGCCTATTTTTTCTGTTCCCAAATGTAACCCCAGTTGGGACAAGTTTGAGCAGACATCGGAGAGAGTCTTTCTTTGAAAATTGTTCTGCTGCCTGGGCCCCTTCCCTACTATTTAGCCATCTTTTTTAGAGTCAAGATGTCAGAAAAAGAAAAAAACAAACTCAGTAAGAAGCATAGTACATTAGACTCAGTTGAAGCCAGGTCCCAGGGCAAGTACCACCCTGGCTGAGACCAGTTCCCAGAGGCCAGCTGCCACTTCTGTTGTCCCCCATGCTTGTTCAGCATCACTGATGTCCCTCAGCTGTTGGGTCTGGTGCCAGGAAGTCAGACTGGAGGCCAGTGAAAAGGAATGGTTGAAGGAAGAGGCTGAGACTCTTTAACTCCAAGAGGAAGAGCTGTAAGAAGGAGGACCTCCTAGCCTTTCAAAGGATTGCTTTTTGCTCACACCTTGATCAGAAGATCTCATCTTTGCCTGGTCAGAGCTAAGCTTGCTTGAATAGTCAAGAAGGAAAATTCATACCATCTGCATCCAGAAGGGAAAATATAGCTCATCAGTGTGGCAGTTCTTTGACACAAGTGTTGGAGTGGGCAACCTGTACCTTATGCCAGGTCAGCATTAGGCAGAACAAGGTAAAGGGAAGCTTTGGCATCAGTTCCTTCAGTTGTCATCTGGAAAGAAATCACCTGTTGGAATAGGATGGAGAAAGAAGATGCCTCTCAAGAAGAACAAGATTCCAACAGAGAAAGTAAGTGGAGGAGTGTGGGAGATTAGGTAGTGAGGGAAAGAAAAAGGGGGAAGAGAGATCAGAAGAGATAATCTTATCACAGTATCTAAATTTCATTTCCAGCCACATCATACATTTTCCAGCTTTGGCCCAATTCTTCCTTCTGTATCACCAAGATATCCTTTCAGTTTGAGCGTGACCACTACAGTGAGAATAAGAACCAAGGTGGACTGAACTCTCAGTAGCTTGGCTGGCCAAAGAG